AATGCACACCACAGTTTAAACAGCGTAGCAGTAATTAGTATGTGATAAACATGTGCAATTTTTTTTTTTTCATCTTGATTCGTTTTTCAGACAAAAATTTCATCTGAATGGACACAGAAACAAATATAAACATATCTGATAAAAGTTATAACAAAATTAACAAATGACATTAATCCCTTAATGCCGGCATCACATAAATATCACAGAACGGGGCTTTTTTCTGTGAGGCCGCGTATTTGCGTACCTGGCTCCCAGCACAAAGACTGGGGTGTCACTGAGAGCCCTGAGTCCCGTTCTAATTATCGGGATCCAGGACTCCCAATTCTGGGTCACATTATCGCTGTGATAGCCTCTGATTGGCACAGTGATCAGTTACTTAATTTTTTGTCTTTCTGAATGGAGAGAGAGATACAGTGTATCTCTCTCTCTCTCCTTGCAGAGAGAAAAAAAAACAACTGTTTGTAAACAATAAATCAAGGTTTGATCCAGTTCAGTGCCAGGGTCAGTGTTTGGGTCAAGGTCAAATTCAGGATTTTTTTTTTAAATTGGTGTTAGTGTCAGTATCAGTGTTTTTTGGTAAACAAAAAACAAAATGCGCACTATTGTTTCTGGGCTGTACTACGGGTACAAACAACAAATAACATACACATCTATGGTATGGCTGCAATCATCAAGAGCTAGAAAATGTATTTTGGATTGTTCTTTGGTTATAGGTTATGGTGGTAACAAGAAACGCACAGCTAAATTTTAAAAATTATAGTTTTTTTTACTATTTTGGGCTAGTTTTCCTTTGATAATAAAAAAAAAATGAGGAGATATCCATTACCATCTACCACCAAATGAAAGCCAAATTTATCCTGAAAAAAAACAAGGTATAATTCACCTGGATGTACAAAGTAGTTGCGATGATATGTTTTTACTAACGGTTTTACTAACATATGTCAAAGTTGTAAAATTTTACTTAGGCTTTAAGATTTGTTTTACCCTTAGGTGTGAAGGGGTTAAGATTGAAAGAAGATGCTCCCAACACAGGGTGGTTACTGTGGGGAAACCAGGCTCCAAAGTGCCAAGTCCAAATCATAACAATTTGTGATTGAAAGTAAAGAACCTTATGGACTTTATAGGCACTACAAACAATGGTTCATAAAATGTAACACTTTACTGAACATGCACAAAATAGTATATACACATATAAAAAATTTGCTACACAATATATTCTGACCCTGTAACATACAAAAATATGAACAATGCACATTCATGTATTGCTAATAACTCCCACATTAGCAAAGATATGCCACAACACGGCAATAATGAAAAAGGGGTACTCTTTTGATGACAGGGCAGCACAGTGGCTAAATGATTAGCACTTCTGCCTGGCAGTACTAGGGTCGCTGGTTCGAATCCCAGTCATGGCTCCACCTGCCTGGAGTTTGCATGTTCTCCCTGTGCCTGCGTGGGTTTTCTTTGGGTACTCCCACACTCCAAAGACATGCTGGTAGGTTCATTGGATCTTGTCTAAATTGTCCCTAGTATGTGTATGTATGAATGTAAGTTAGGGTCCTTAGATTGTACACCCCTTGAGGGTTAGGGACTGATGTGAATGTGCAATATATATATATGTGTAGAGTGCTGCGTAAATTGACGGCGCTATATAAGTACCTGAAATAAATAAATAATAATAGTAATGGCTCAACATGTTTTGCAATGATATCACTTCTTCAGGAGCTGTAAAAAGACTTCTATGTGAAGAAATATACAGAATTGTGTTGATAAAATAACAAGAAACAAAGAAACAACTTACATACAATGCTGAATGTACACATATCAAAACAAATGGTAATGAAGCAAATATAATACCACAAAGCACATACATCTGCATAGAGGTGATGGAAGGAAGCGTTTTAAGGACACCATGAGGGACCAATCGACGAGTGGATCCCAGCAATAACGGAGGGGCGAGTCACCTGCCCTATGACAGTACCTGGTATGTAAAAAGTATATGATGATTTATAATATTATAGTGAGGCCCTCCTAACTAATTGGTACCACTATAAATTAAAGGCTATAACTGACCTCCCCGCTAATAGCACGTAGTAAGGCTACTGGTTATTGTCCTGGTATGGTAACACCTGGGTCAGCCTGAAGGGGCTGGTATTGTATTATTATAATACAGGATTTATATAGCGCCAACAGTTTGCTCAGCACTTTACAATATAAAGGGAGACAATACAGCAACAATACAGTTCAATACAAGAGGGATAGGAGTGCCCTGCTCCTTGGAGCTTACAATCTAGGAGAATGTATAGATCTATACGTAACACATAGAAGAAAAAAAAAATTTGATTCATTTGTATGACATCACATGAAAGTGATAGTAGCTCAGTCCCATGGGCAAATTAACTAGATTTTCAAATTTGTTTGATCATTTGGATTAGGAAATCAAATGGATGCAAATTTCATTCCATGCATTCTATTCAGATGCATATGACGCCAGTCGATATTTTGTCCAATTAGCTCATGACATTGCTCTTGGTGGGTTGGACTAGCATTTGAAAATATTGAATCCAACCGATTCAATATTATATCGAATATTTAGCAATCTTCTAGAAAAACTGCTTAATTTTTCAAATCCGCCAAGACCAACGAATATATGAAACAAATGCTGAGGATACGAAATTAATCCTGAAAATGAATCGGTTCAATGTAACAAATATAACAAAATGAAATTCTTCAATGAAATTCTTCAATGAATGAATGCATACAAAATGAAATGAAAATTTCTGGCGTGCACATATCTAGTATGTATGTACTCCATAGCTTACAGTATACTGTATGCAATGTATTCCACAGCTTACAGAGATCAGAAGTCAGGATTATGTTAACTACAGCTCAGTTTATAGAGTGCCACAGTCAGGATTATGTACCATACAGCACAGTTTACAGAGTAGCAGTTAGGGGAATGTATAAAGTATGCAGTGTGCAGTGTTTTTTGTGGGTTTTATATTATTGAATTTTGTCCGAGTATAGATCTATGTTTGTCCGAAGCATGTTTGAAGCCCATTATTGTTGACTGATTCACTATCCGTTTGTTTTCTGAATCTGAACTATCGTTCTTATATGACCATCATGCAAGAATTCTGCCTTCTTCCCCTACCAACCCGAAAAGCAGACGTGTGCCCTCCACAAAGTAAGAGAATGTCCTCCCAGGCTTCCCCCAGCTTTGTATTATATTATATGCCAAGGAGGAACTGGGAACCACTCTGATTGTGAAGTATTTAAAGAGACCTTACCTCTCTGCTTGTGTCCCCACAAAGTCGGGGGGAATTCACCATGTAGATTTACATAGATTTCTGCATAGTGTTAATGCTAGACCACATTTTCAGATACAGGAACACAGGGCAGTTCATCACTTGATTCCTGCTGAAGGCAAGCATCAGCCAGTCTTTAATCTGATCTTATCTGTTAGCAGTGATCATATGATCAGGTGACAATTTCTCAGTATTAAAGTAGTGTTCGGTGGTGGAGGCATGATGGAAAAATTAATTTTTCCATGTTATGGCTTACTACTATGTAGGAATCCATCCCAAGCCTGGTATATGGATGATTTTACCCTAGCTGACTTCATACTACAGGAATGTCATTACGAACTAGCCAAATGACCAAGCCCTTTAGGAATGTGTGCTGTTTTCCCTAAAAGGTAATGCTCTTTTCTAAGGGTTATGATTAGAGATGAGCGAATTATTCAAAAATTCGGTTCGGCTGATTCGCCAAATTCGCTTCGAGCCGAATATATTCGCTGCGAATTTAACTTATAAAAAGGGTGTTTTCTAGGCTTCAGAGAGCCTTTATATTAGTGCAGAACACTGTACCTTTAATTTAAATGCCCTTGGAGTCTGCTGGGGGAAGAGAAATAATACTGTCAGTCAGTATGACATGCAGATGAGTGCCGTCGATCTTAGAATCACCGCACACTTCACTCATTTGGGCAGTCATGGGGGCCAAAACCAGAGTGTGGAGCCACAGTGTGGCGGTGGAGGCAGCAGCAATGGGAGGCCATACAGCACCCTATGACAAAATGGAACCCACCAGCAGTGTGAGGAGACCTGAAAGTGGCACATGGCAGAGTGTGGCGATGGAGACAGCAGCAATGGGAGGCCGTACAGGGACCCATGACACACTCGGGACCTGGCAGCAGCATGAGGAGGCGGTACAGGGGCCCATGACAGATTACGGGCCTGGCAGCAGCATGAGGAGTCGGTACGGGGGCCCATGGCAGATTAGGGGCCTGGCAGCAGCATGAGGAGGCGCGGTACAGGGGCCCATGGCAGAGTGGCGGAGCGTAAGCAGCTAAAATTGAAGGCCATACAGAGGCCTATGTTAAAAAGTCCCCCCAGCAGCAGCGTGGGGAGACGACTATCAAGAGTCCAATGGCAGAGTGGCAGAGCAGAAGCAGCTTCAATTGAAGGCCATACACAGGCCTAGGTTTAAAAGTCCCTCACAGTTAATTCCAATAACGAACTCTACTCCTCCGTGCAATCTAGTTACGAGACCCTGGGCAGGTCTGGGTCCAATTTGTGGTAGAGACTGGTTTTGTTCAGCCATGCTTGAGCGAGTAATAACAGGTCTGTGCTGCCCTTTGGTGTCTGGCTTAATGCGCACAACACTGAACGTCCCAGCGTTTGTCAACGATTTGCCGTTAAGTGATGCAAACCCGCTGAACCACGTTCATGAGGAGCCGGTACAGGGGGCCATGAATCAGTATGGACCTGGCAGCAGCGTGAGCAGACGACAGAGGCACATGGCGCTGGTGGGGGCGGTGTAGGCAGCATTATTCTGAAGCCATACACAGGCCTAGGTTAAAAAGCGGAAGCCGTCAGCAGCGTGAGCAGACGACAGAGACACATGGCGCAGGGTGGCGGTGGATGATGCAGCAGTATTCGGAAGCCTAACACAGGCCTCGGTTAAAAAGCGGAAGCCATCAGCAGCGTGAGCAGACGACAGAGGCACATGGCGCAGGGTGGCAGTGGAGGCAGCAGCAATGGAAGGCCATACAGCACCCTATCACAAAATGGAACCCACCAACAGTGTAAGGAGACCTGAAAGTGGCACATGGCAGAGTCTGGCGATGAAGTCAGCAGCAATGGGAGGCCGTACAGGGACCCATGACACACTCTAGACCTGGCAGCAGCAAGAGGAGGCGGTACAGGGGCCCATGGCAGAGTGGCGAAGCGTAAGCAGCTTAAATTGAAGGCCATACAGAGGCCTATGTTAAAAAGTCCCCCCAGCAGCAGTGTGGGGAGACGACTATCAAGAGTCCAATGGCAGAGTGGCGGAGCAGAAGCAGCTTCAATTGAAGGCCATACACAGGCTAGGTTAAAAAGTCCCCCCAGCAGCAGCGTGGGGAGACGACTATCAAGAGTCCAATGGCAGAGTGGCGGAGCGGAAGCAGCTTCAATTGAAGGCCATACACAGGCCTAGGTTAAAAAGTCCCCCCAGCAGCAGTGTGTGGGGGGAGACGACTATCAAGAGTCCAATGGCTGAGTGGCGATCCGGGAAGTCAGCGTTGTGATTGCAGATGCAATGCAGAAATTCTACGAAGTAATGCCGTGGGTGCGAAGAAGATCATATACCGTCGTACTTCCATCCATAAGACGGAACAACCTGCGAACCGGGAGCTTTATTGCCCTGACCCGCTGAGCAGCTTCTGGGATACCCAAGAGGCCCATGGGTAGAGTGGCGGAGCGTAAGCAACTTCAATTAAAGGCCATACAGAGGCCTATGTTAAAAAGTCCCCCCAGCAGCAGCGTGGGGAGACGACTATCAAGAGTCCAATGGCAGAGTGGCGGAGCGGAGGCAGCTTCAATTGAAGGCCATACACAGGCCTAGGTTAAAAAGTCCCCCCAGCAGCAGTGTGGGGGAGACGACTATCAAGAGTCCAATGGCTGAGTGGCGATCCGGGAAGTCAGCGTTGTGATTGCAGATGCAATGCAGAAATTTTATGAGGTAATGCCGTGGGTGCGAATAAGATCATATACCGTCGTACTTCCATCCATAAGATGGAACAACCTGCGAACCGGGAGCTTTATTGCCCTGACCCGCTGAGCAGCTTCTGGGATACCCAAGAGTTTGGCTTCTGTGGGGAATATGGTTGAAAAACTGAAACTTAAAGGCATGTTGACGGAAGGGCACCAGTGTCAGTGCTCCGGAGGGAATATAGCTTCAAAGCTGACACTTAAAGGTATATCGACGGTCAGAGACCACAGGAAGTGGAGCTTGCGTCTTAAATCGACTGAATGTGGCAGACGTGTGAAACGTCTATGGGCCGTATATGAAACGGGTTGTTCCTCTTTCTGGAATAAGTGTTGGAAATGGCCACTCTTTTTGGTGTGGCGTTTTGTCTATTTAATTCCGATAACGGACTCTACTCCTCCGTGCAATCTAGTTACGAGACCCTGGGCAGGGTCTGGGTCCAATTTGTGGTAGAGACTGGTTTTGTTCAGCCATGCTTGAGCAAGTAATAACAGGTCTGTGCTGCCCTTTGGTGTCTGGCTTAATGCGCACAACACTGAACGTCCCAGCATTTGTCAACGATTTGCCGTTAAGTGATGCAAACCCGCTGAACCACGTTCATGAGGAGCTGGTACAGGGGGCCATGAATCAGTATGGACCTGGCAGCAGTGTGAGGAGAGACCCGAAAGTGGCGCATGGCGCAGGGGTGGCGGTGGAGGCAGCAGCAGTATTCGGAAGACATACACAGGCCTAGTTTAAAAAGCGGAAGCCGTCAGCAGCGTGAGCAGACGACAGAGGCACATGGCGCAGGGTGGCGGTGGAGGCAGCAGTATTCGGAAGCCATACAGGCCTAGGTTAAAAAGCGGAAGCCGTCAGCAGCGTGAGCAGACGACAGAGGCACATGGCGCAGGGTGGCGGTGGTGGCAGCAGTATTCGGAAGCCATACACAGGCCTAGGTTTAAAACTGGAACCCAGCAGCGTGAGCAGACGACAAAGACGCACATGGCAGAGGATGGATCTGGCAGCAGTATGAGAAGGCGGTACAGGGGCCCGTGGCACAGTGTGGTGATGGGGGCTACAGCAACTGGATGCCAGAAAGTGGCCGATAGGGCTATATACTGCATGGAATTATAAAGTTGTAAAGACAGCGGCCTATAAGGCTATACACACTATAACAATCATGACTTGATTGACCATTGGCCTATAAGGCTTTACACAGCATGAATATCATGACTTATTCTGAGAGTGGTTTGGAAGGCTATATACAAAAAGTAATTCATGAGCTGTCCGGACAGCGGACAATAAGTACATATATACAAATCAATTCATCAGCTGTCCAGCCAGCGGCCTCAAAGGCGACACATATAGAAAGCAATTCATGAGCTGTTCAGACAGCGGCGGCCTCTAAGGCGACAGATATACAAAGCAATTCCCGAGGTGTTTCAGGGAGCGGCCTGAACGGCTAGGTTATTACTAAATATATTTTTGTGGCCAAACATCGGCCTATAAATAGATGTCTACACACAGTGACAAAAAATTATGTCGCCAGACAGCGGCCCCTAAGGCGACAGATTTACAAAGCAATTCCCGAGGTGTTCAGTGAGCGGCTTGAACGGCTAGGTTATTACTAAATATATCTTTCTGGCCAAACATCGGCCTATAAATAGATGTCTACACAGTGACAAAAAAGTAGGTCCCCTTACAGCGGCGTATCCTACAAATTGACATTATAAGAAATGGTTTAGACCAAAAAAAAAAAAAAAAAAAAACTTTGATGCAATGCTATACCTTAGTAGATTGTGGAAAGTCGACAAGTCAGTCAAGCGTAACTGTGTACATTACAGAAAATCTTAACAAGACAACCAAACATGTGGCCAAACCGTGACCGATACAACAAGTTAACAATGTAAGAAACAGGAGGGGGCCAAACCGTGGCCAATAAATAAACAGTCCACCTCATTGATGAGATGGACAACACGTGTCAAATAAATATTTAAAAAAATTGCTATTCCATCGGTCTGGAACTGGTCGACTATAAATAATTAAAAAGTTTAAATTCATGTGACAGTCGTCCAGCGACGTATAAATAATTTAAAAACACCAAATTCATGAGGGGGCCCGACCAGCAGAGTATAAGTCATTAAAAAGGTTCAATTCATGTGACGGTCGTCCAGCGAAGTATAAATAATTTAAAAACCCCCAATTCATGAGGGGCCCGACCTGCAGAGTATAAGTCATTAAAAATGTGCAAAACATGAGTCGGCCGACCAGCAGCCTCTCAATAAAATATATATACAAATGTACGGATCAGGTGGAGGTCTTCCATTTGTCCCTAATAACATGTTTGGGGCATGATTCATGGCGGATTTAGTCAGTTGTGTCAGGAACTGGTGGTTTGAAATCCAGACTAATCCACGCCTGATTCATTTTCACAAACGTGAGTCTCTCCACACTTTGGGTGGACAGTCGTGTCCTCCGCGGAGTTACAATACCTCCTGCCGCACTAAAAACGCGCTCCGATGCCACGCTACTGGCCGGGCATGACAGCCTTTCAAGGGCAAATTCAGCTAGTTGGGGCCAAAGGTCAAGTTTCGTTGCCCAGTAGTCAAGGGGATTGTCTACCTCGGTTGGCAGGGTGCTGTCCAAGTAGGCCCAAGCCTGTTGTTTGAGGTCCTGCTCCAGGTCCACCTGATGCTGCTGCTGCTGCTGCGGCGGCTGGTTAGTAGTTTCCTCACTGCGCTGGTGAAGAAAGCTACTCATCATCGACTGCAGACTGAGGCAGCCGCTGCTGGTGGAGCTGCCACTGCTCCTACCACCACCCCACCCCTCCCCTGCTGCCATGGCAGCGGAACGCGAGCGCACAGGGCCCACAGTGTCTGAGGATGGACGTTGGCGCAGAAAGGCAGAGACCAACTGACTACATAGGTGGTTTTTATAGTACTTTATTTTGGCCTCCCTCTCAGCAGGTGTGAAAAAGGCCACCATTTTTGAACGGTAGCGAGGGTCCAACAACAAGGTGGACAGCCAAAAGTCATCCCTCTGTCTGATGGTTATTATTCGGCTGTCGCTACGCAAGCAAACCGAGCATGCTATGGGCCATTTGTGCCAAGGAATGCGAGGGACTCCCTGCCTCCATCTCCACAGCATACTGCCACGGTGCGTCTGGGTCCTCTGTCTCCTCCTCCTCCTCTACCAGATGCTCCTGCTCCTCCACTCCTGTCCGCTGAGTGGAAAAACCACCCATTTCACTCAATAATTCCTGAGCACCAATGTCCTCCTCTACCTCCTCCTCTTCTTCCTGTCCTGCCCCCACAGGGGTCATGTGGCGTTGAGATCTGTGCGCCACGTCTACCGCACCCTGACCAGCCATTGTTAACAGCATTTGTTCCAGGACGTGCAACAGAGGAATGACGTCGTTCATCCCATAGTCCTGCCGACTCACGAATAGCGTGGCCTCCTCAAAGGGCCTGAGCAAGCGGCAGGTGTCACGCATGAGCTGCCAATGGCTGACATCTAAGTTACACAGGGGAGTACCTTTATCCGCTTGTAACATCAGGGAAATCGGTGATGGCCTTTCGCTGTTCGTAAAGGGCGGTCTAACATATGTAGGGTTGAATTCCACCTTGTTGCAACGTCGCAGATCAGGCGATGCTGTGGAATTCCGTTCTGCCGCTGCAGCTCAAGGAGGGTGTGCTTTGCGGTGTAGGAATGGCTGAAATGCATGCAAAGTTTACGTGACATTTTAAGGATGTCTTGCAGTGGGATGGTGGATTTTAGGAACCGCTTGACAACCAGATTGAACACGTGAGCCATGCATGGCGCATGGCACAACCTTCCTTGACGCAGAGCAGACACCATGTTCTTTCCGTTGTCGGTCAACATGGTTCCGATTTTCAGTTTTTGCGCGGAGACAGCCATCTGTCGATTTCTCTGTTCATTTACACTCAGAAGTTCCTCCCCTGTGTGACTACGTTCGCCAAGGCATACCAGGTGCAGCACAGCGTGACACCGTTGCGCCCTGCACATGTGATATGCCGGTCGGGTAATGGGACTTGGCACGGGGGTGGCGGCTGAGGACACGGCGGAAGAAGAGGTGGTAGAGGCGGACATCTTTGCTGGACCAAGGACGTGCAAACGTGGAGGCAAAAGCGGCGTGACCTGTCCAAGTTGCTGGTGCGGCTGTGCCGGCACCACGTTCACCCAGTGGGCCGTAAATGACATGTACTGTCCCTGACCGTAGTTACAGCTCCACACGTCGGCGCTGCCGTGCACTTTGGCAGAGACCGACATGCTCAAAGACTGGCCCACCATCTCTTCTACATGTGAATGCAGGGCTGGCACTGCCTTTTTGGCGAAGAAATGCCGGCTTGGCACTCTCCACCGCGGCTCGGCACAAGCCATCATTTCTCGGAAAGGTGCTGAGTCCACCACTTGAAAGGGAGGGACTGCAGCACCAGCAACTTGGACAGGAGGACGTTCAGCTTCTGCACCGTCGGGTGCGTGCTCGCAAACTGTTGTCTCTTGGAAACGGATTCCAAGAAAGACTGCTGACGGAATCCGTGAAGAGGAGTAGCAGGAGAAGGAGCATCTGAACGAGCGGAAGATGCCAACGAGCGACAACAACCCCTCAGCAGAGGTGTTGGAGCCTTGACTGGCTGATAGAGGGCGATTGACGTCGGGTGACGGAGCAAGTAACGGAGCGGGTGATGGAGCGGGGGCTGGGGCAGGCAGAACCGCCGTATCTTTATCACGGTTTTCCCAGGCCACCGAATGGCGACGCTGCATATGCTGACGCAACGCTGTAGTCCCAACATTGGCCCCCTGGCCACGCTTGACTTTCTGGCCACATAGTCGACATACGGCTACGTTTACTTCCTCGGGCGGCTTGACGAAAAATTGCCACACCGCCGAGTAGGAAACTTTGCCCCCGCTACTCCTCACTGGCTGACTGCTACTTCCTCCGTGCACACCGGCACCACTACTGGCCGTGGTGGTAGGCTGCAGTGGAGCTGGTGCTCTACTCCGTGGCCGTTTGGCTCCACTGACACTGCTGCGACCCTGCTGCCTCCTGGGCAACCCACCGACTGTTTTGCTCGCTGGCAAGCTGGCACCCTCTTCTCCTGATGATGCGGAAGCAATAGCCTGATGACGACGAGGCTGCCAAGTGCGATCAGCCTCATCATCATCAATTAGGGTCTCCGCGTCACTACTAGCCCCCTCGGCTGCGTGTGGGTCAGGAGACAGACCTGTCTCTAGACCGGCTACCGAGCCACTCTCCTCGCCAGTACTTCTTCGCCTGGCTGCTGAAGAGGCGGATGTCTCCCCCCGTTCCTGACCGCCCTCTGTTAGCTCTTCCTCACTGTACAGTGGGGCTGAGCCCACAGCATGCGATACTTCGCTTGGTGAGGGAACACCAAAGGACAGGGGCAGGTCGAGGACACGTGATTTCAGTGGGCTTGCTCCCGGGCCATGCCAACTAACGGTTGTGTCTGACGTACCCACCGACCGTTGGCTGTAGGTGTCAGAGGTGACCTGGGAAGAGGAAGACGACCGAGTCAACCAATCGATGACGGCAGGGTTGTCGGTGGAGACACGACCGCTGGATGACACCGGGAGCACTGGCCTCTGGCTGCGACTAGTGCTGCCTCGACCCCTTCCTCTGCTGCCACGTCTGCTCGCTCCTGAAACATTGCCTCC